TATGTAGGTCAGAACTGGCGGTCAGTTTCAGCAGCGGCTGAATCTGGACGCCAGTTCCGACTTACATACAGATTCAACTTAAGAACAAAGTAACAGTCCCTATCTTGTACGTAACCCGGGGACTGCCTGTATTCTTTTGGTTTTAGTATGACCCTGTGGATGAGAAGTTAGATATGTTGGGGGGTCAGGGCCTCTAAACTTAAAGTGACCCAGGCCTCTGTCATTCTCTGAGGGAGCCCGGTCTTCCTTGTATGTTCCGACTTACATACAGATTCAACTTAAGAACAAAGTAACAGTCCCTATCTTGTACGTAACCCGGGGACTGCCTGTATTCTTTTGGTTTTAGTATGACCCTGTGGATGAGAAGTTAGATATGTTGGGGGGTCAGGGCCTCTAAACTTAAAGTGACCCAGGCCTCTGTCATTCTCTGAGGGAGCCCGGTCTTCCTTGTATATGAAATATATATATTCCTTACACCCGAAGCAAAGAACATTAAGTAAATTTCCAGAAACAAAATAATCTGTCAAAAAACTTTCATTCCCTAACCCATGGGCTAACCACAACATGCAGTTTGCAACCCAAATGATAAACACTGGAAACAATTTACACTAGTCATCAAACAATGTGTAAAACATAAGCGTATACAAGTAATTATTAGCAATAAACAGAATATGTAAACAGTGACTGATTATGTGGAAGTAAAACTCACTGTTTTTTCGTTAGTATGGTAAAGATACAGAGATGAGACATATGACTGAAAGTTTACTTTCTTAATTCAGGTCCTGTAGTGTTACCTTTTATTCTGACAAATAGTCCTGTTAATTTTAGTGAGGCTATTTGCTTAAATAAAGCTTATATAATCAGATCCTCAATTGTTTTTGATGTGGAAAACTCACTAAGATGAAGCAAATACAAAAATAAAAGTATAAGTAAAAGAGCTTTTTTTTTAATTAAAAAAAAAAGAGCTTTCAATTTTAGGTATTTTTTGTAACCCAGGTAGGGCATTTTTAATGATTTTTAACCTAAAGAAACCTTATTTAATAATATTAATCTCATTAACATTCAACAAATTAACAACAATTATCTTAAATATTTTAAAAAAATAAAGGGGAAGATATGTAAAGTTCTGCTGATTGTTATGGTAATAGCAACATCTTCAAGAGCAGAAGTAATTTCAAAGAATAATTTATTTTCTCAAAATATAGTTGATCTTTAGAACGAACATTTGCCTAATATTTTCATGATGAAATTTACCATGGCACACAATATCCAGTTACTTCAATATCTTCCAAAGCTTTTCATTAAATCCAATGTCCTTTCAAATACATTTTAATAAAACAGTAATATTGCATGGAGACAGGAGGTCAGATAAGTACATTTCTACCATCATATCATTAAATCTAAACTTTGGCTGCAGCATAATAGTTCTGGTGATTATTTTTCATTCCTAAGTTTTTTACTCTTTTCCACATTTCTAAGTGCTTGTTGTTTACAGTTTTATACAAGAACTGGGCAGAAGGCCACAATAACTGCAGATTTCATTATGATGGGGAAAAGTATCTGCTCCAATTTTTGAAAACTTTTTTCTTCTCTGTCCTCCACCTGCCACTATCAAGTTACAGGTTTATGTTAGTCCTGAATTCTTTTCCTCTCTTCCACCTTCTTGCTTTCAGCAAGACGCAACAGCTTGTGCTGTCTATAAAGTAAAGATAACGAATAGTTATCCTCCTCTTTTTCTAAAACTCAACTTAGATGAAGATGGAGCACTGCATGTAGGACCCTGTGTTCTGGCTGAGCCCATACATTCCTACCACCAGTGAGGGTGCAAACAGTCTGTTCAACTGTATGAAAACTAAGCCTTTGGACTCCATGCAAATTGTCAATGTAACCCCTGTATTGGGTAAAGTGCAGAGCAGATACTTGTAACAAAAAGAAAGGTCAAGATTGCGCAAATATGTATGCACATTCTTCATTTTTTTCGTGTGAGTAGTTCCATTGTTTTTAACAAACTAATCACATAACCAGAGTTAAGAATGTGTGTGTTTACAGAATCAGGACCACATTGGATTTTCTTTCGGTTCAGAAGGAAAATGAGGAAGACCTCAATTGTTTTGATGTGATAAGATGATCTGATTCTATAAGCTTTATTTAAGCTAATAACCCCACTAAAATTATTCTGACAAATAGTCCAGTTAAAAAATAAAACTGCAGGACCCGAATTAAGAAAGTAAACTTTCAGTCATAGGTTTCATCTCTGTATCTTTATCATACTAAAGAAAATTCAAAACCTTTACTACTTGTGTATATAAGAATGATTCTGCACTAAGGATGTTAAGGACTAGTCTACTATCAGATAAGCAAATGCTTATCAGTTAGTCAGTCGACTAGTAAATTAACCGATATTTAACATCCTCACGCCGCACAGTCATTTTTATTTTACCTATCTTAAATATTTAATGAGCTCACTACACAAAAATTAAACACACAAAACTTATTGCAAACATTAGCAGTAGGATCAGTTACCTACCGTTTCCCACTGCAATTATCTTGGTTCAGTCCCCCAATTTGCTTCATAGCAGACCATGCTGTTAGACTGACAAAGGGTAAGGAAGCAGCTTCCGTGTGACTAAGAGACTTGGGCTTGTGAGAGACCTAAAGCAGAGGAGGAATAATGTCTATATCACAATTAATTTGTGGACGACCAGGGTTTACTAAAGTAATTTGTAAATATTTATTTCAATAAAAATTCAAATTATTTACATTAAATACACTCTTAATTTAAAAAGACTCTTTTCTACAGTCTATTATAATCAATCACTTACATGAAATAGAAATAGTATTAAGCAGTAAATGTATGCTGCAAAACTTTCAAAAAGAGTCATACTATTGAACTTTGTAAAGCCACTATCTAAGAACCTGGAACTAGAGTTTGCTGAACTGATAACTCGGCATTTGAATGAAAAAGCACTGACTGCAGAAGATTAGAGACTATTTTCTTATTTCAGTTTACTGAACTAATTCAGCATAATGGCTAGTTCATTTAAAGTTAATAAAACAGCTTCAAGCTGGAAAAAGAGGAAAAGCTTGTTTTGCTCTTCCAATCTATGAATACAAGCTAACTGTGCAAGGATGAGATCCTCTAGTTCTAGAATTTTGAAGGATATGTTGACCAGAAACAATCCATTCAATTAATAATAACAATGTTTAATACACCAACTAATTAAAACATGTTTTATATTTGCATTAGAAATTAATTTTTGTATGTATCCAGCATGAGGTAGTTTTGTTCAGCTACTGAATATTAATACTGATTTAGTGCATTTTAACTACATTCTCATTTCCATCCAAATAGAGCTCTCACAAATTACACAGCTATGTATCATTCACTTTTGTTAAAATAAAATGCAAAAAATTAAGAATCCGAATAAATGTATTTAAGTATATATGTGGCTTAACATACATGTACATAGAGAAGTCTCCTAATATGTACCATAATTACTATGAAGGCTAGATTTAGCTGAAAAACAAGTTGCTGTATTCATTATCAGTGAGAATCAGCCTTCATTTGTGAAAAATCACTAAAAAATACAAATATAAAACAAAATTAAAATTGAAATAAATGTTCCTTGCCTGTTAAATTACTTTTACAATTGGGAATTTAAATCACTAAATTAACTCAACCCATCAAGTAGAATACACATAAGAACGGCCATACTGGGTCAGACCAAAGGCCCATCTAGCCCAGAATCCTGTCTGCCAATAGTGGCCAATACCAGATGCCCCAGAGCGAGCAATCACAACAGGTAATCTTCACGTGATCCCTCCCGTCACCTGCATCCAAAGAAAAAGAGGCTAGGGTAGGAATGGCTAGACACCATTCCTATCAATCCTGGCCAATAGCCATTGATGGACCCAACCTCCATGAATCCATCCAGCTCTTCTTTGAACCCTGCTAAAGTTCTAGCCTTCACTGCATCCTCAAGCAAGGAGTTCCACAGGTTGACTGTGCACTGAGTGAAGAAAAACTTCCTTTTGTTTATTTTTGACTTAATTTCATTTCATGACCCCTAGTTCTTTTATTGCGGGAATAAGTAAATACATTTTCCTTATTCACTTTTTCCATACCAGTCACGACTTTATAGACCTCTATCATATCCCCCCTTAGTCTCTTCTTTTCTACACTAAAAAGTCCAAGTCTTTTTAATCTCTCTTCATATGGGACCCGTTCCAAATCCCTCATCATTTTTGTTGCCCTTTTCTGAATCTTTTCCAATGCCTTTTTTTTTTCTTTTGAGATGAGGCAGCCACATCTGAATGAGATATTCAAGATGTGGGCATACCATGGTTTTATATAGAGGCAATAAGATATTCTCTGTCGTAGTCTCTATCCCTTTTTTAATGATTCCTAACATTCTATTTGCTTTTTTGACTGCCGCTGCACACTGAGTGGATGTTTTCAGAGAACTATCCACAATGACTCAAAGATCTCTCTTGAGTAGTTGTACCCAAATTAGTCCCCATCATATTGTATGTATAGTTGAGATTTTTTTTCCAATGGGCATTACTTTACATTTATTAACATTAAATGTAAAATTTTCCATTTTGTTGCCCAATCACTTAGTTTGGTAAGATCTTTATGAAGCTCTTCACAGACTGCTTCGGTCTTAACTATTGAGCAGTTTGGTATCATCTGCAAATTTTTCCACTTCACTGTTTACCCCTTTCTCCAGATTATTTATAAATAAATTGAATAGGATTGGTCCCAGGATAGACGCTTGGGGACCCCACTAGTTAGCTCTCTCCACTCGGAAAACTTACCATTTATTCCTATCCTTTGTTTCCTGTCTTTTAACCAGTTATCAATGCACGAAAGGACCTTTCCTCCTATCCCATGACAACTTACTTAAGAGCCTTTGGTGAGGGACCTTGACAAAGTCTTTTTGGAAATCTAAGTATACTATCTCCACTAGATTCCCCTTATCCACATGTTTGTTCACCCCTCTCAGAGATCTCTAGGGCTACATCTACACTGCAGACTTCTTGCGCAAGAACAGCCGTTCTTGTGCAAAAACTTGCGGAGCGTCTACACTGCACACGCATTCTTGCACAAGTAAATTTATAGTAAAGCATCGGAACAGAGGGCTTCTTGCACAAGAGTTATTCCTTTCCACACGAGGAATAAGCCCTCTTGTACAAGAATGCAGTGTGGAAGGGGCAACAGGGGTTTCTTGCGCAGTGTGGATGCTCTCTTGTGCAAGAAAGCGCTGATGGCCATTTTAGCTAACATGGCCATCAGCACTTTCTTGCGCAAGAGAGCATCCACACTGCCATGGCACATGGTAGTGTGGACCCGCTCTTGCGCAAGACCTTATTCGCAAGAATTCTTGCACAAAACAGTTCTTGCGCAAGAAGCCTGCTGTGTAGACATATCCTAGCAGATTAGCAAGGCATGATTTCCCTTTACAGAAACCATGTTGACTTTCCCCCAACAAATAATATTAATCCATGTGTCTGACAATTTTATTCTTTACTATTGTTTCAACTAATTTGCCCAGTACTGACGTTAGACTTACCAGTCTGTAATTGCCAGGATCATCTTTAGAGCCTTTTTTAAATATTGGAATCACGTTAGCTATCTTCCAATCATTAGGTATGGAAGGCAATTTAAAGGATAGGTTTCAAATCATAGCTAATAGTTCCACAGTTTCCCATTTGAGTTCTTTCAGAACTCTTGGGTGAATACCATCTGGTCCCGGTGACTTGTTACTGTTTATCAATTTGTTCCAGAACCTCCTCTAATGACACCTAAATCTGGGACAATTCCTCAGATTTGTCACCTAAAAAGAATGGCTCATGTTTAGGAATCTCTCCAATATCCTCAGCCATGAAGACTGAAGCAAAGAATTCATTTAGCTTCTCCGCTATGACTTTATCATATTTGAGTGCTCCTTTAGCATCTCGATCGTCCAAGGGCCCCATCGGTGGTTTAGCCAGCTTCCTGCTTCTGATATATTTAAACATTGTACACTTTTTGAGTAGCTGTTCTTCAAACTCCTTTTTGGCTTTTCTTCTTATATTTTTATCCTTAATTTGACAAAGTTTATGCTCCTTTCTATTTTCCTCTCTAGGGGTACGTCTAAACTACATGACTCCGTCGACGGAGCCATGTAGATTTGTTGTTTTGGCAAAGTCAAATGAAGCCGCAATTTAAATGACCGCGGCTTCATTTAAATTTACATGGCTGCCGCGCTGAGCCGACAAACAGCTGATCAGCTGTTTGTCGGCTCAGCGCGCTATTTTGGACGCTCCCCTGCCGACATCAAAGCCCTTTGTCGGCAGCCCCGGTAAACCTCATCCC